CCGCCTTTCTTCTTTCCAGAGCTCGCTCTATCCAGAAGGCCTGCCTATTGTCTACTGCCTGGTACAGGACATTTAGCTTTTTATTGATCCAGCCACAGTGACACACTTCACACAGTGTAAAGGAAGGTTCCACAAGACTAACTTTAAACTACACTCAAATGTTTTTCGTGCACAGAGAGTTAAGACTTGTTGTATGGGTGAGGAAATCCCCTGCATGCAAAAATTTCCGATAGGATGATGAACGAGGGAAAAGTGGTACACATGGCTACATTAATAGTTGGCTCTTTGCTTCAGGCCCAGCTAATGGAGAAAATGACATTTTTTTTGCTTAAGAATACTAGGAATTAAATTGGGCATGTGGCTTATGCCTTATAACTCTCCAGTACCTGGGAGGCTGAGACAGGAGGATTGCCAATACCAAGTTATTGATGATATCCTGGTCTATGTAATGTGTTCCATGCTAGCATGAGCTACAGAATAAAAATCTGTTTAAAAAAAGCCAATATGCACATATGGAGGGAAGGATTGGGGTGGAGGGGTGTCGGGATGGATAGGTGGCTCACACAGTAAATTCCATGCTGTGCAAGCGTGAGGACTTGAGTAGCATCCCCAGCACTTACATAAAAGGCTGGCCTTAGCATCACGGTCTGGAACCACAGCATCGGTGTGGATGGTAGGGTAGAGCAAACATCATTGGCCAGCCAACCTAAACAAGTAATAAGCTCTAGGTTCAGTAAGACACCCGTTCTCACAAATCTAAGGTGCTACTTGGGGTGGAGGATAGAAATGTGGTCAAGATACATTATATGCATGCATGCAATTGTCAAAGAATAAATTCTCTTAATTTTTAAAAATAGCATGAAGAGTAGCTAAAGAAGACACCATACATCAACCTCTGGCCTCCACACCTAGCCACACAAACACATTCACACATATACACACATACCCCAGCCATACATACACACAATTAATAAACAAAAAGTTTTAGGAATCAGAAATCTCTTTGGGGGGGTCTGGCACCGTGGCTCTGGGGCAAAAGTGTTTACTTCTCATCACTTTTGACCATCTTGAGTTCATTCCCCAGGATTCAGTCACATGGTGGAAGGGGCAACTGATTCCCTTAGCTTGTCCTCTGATCTCCACACACACTGTGCCATGAACACACACGTATACTACTCCTCAAACACGCAAAAATAATGACTGCAGTCAACTTGCATTCTCATTTCATTATTTAAATACATATATATGTATGTGTGTGCATGTGTGTGTATATATATATATATATATATATATATATGGAATGAAGGGAAATACCAACATTTAGGAGAAAGAGAGACATCTGAAAACCAGATAGGTGTTGGAAGCCCAGGAATTTTACTAACAGGAGGCAGGATCTGTAGGAGATTTCCTTCTACACTATCCCAGCATTGAGTCACCACTCTCTTGGGTATAGCATTGCTTGCCTATGATTTCTGACACAACTTATTAACACTTTCAGAACTTGGCATTAGGTATACCATGTAAGTAACGTTAGGAAGGAGAAAGCATAATATAAAAATGAGATGCATGCAAAAAAAATGTGCGTGAGAAACACAGTAACATCACCACACACACAAATTAAGAAAGTGCTATCATGAAAGCGAAGCCCGATTAATGTCATTAGTGGTATATAGGCCTTTCACTTAAAAGCCAGAAGGCTGTCTGGAAACCTCCATGTCGTGAGAATCCATTTTACTAGGCTTTCTAACATTACTAAGCACAATTCCAAACGCTTTAGTGCTAACAGGACCACACCCCCACTGGAGTCACCCACACCAATGCCTGCTTTAAAAAGAGGTTTAATAGCCCTCTCCGGGGGTATTTAATAGCCCAGTCCAGGGGTAATAATGTGTTGCTCTTCTTTGGAAAGCTTTCATCCTTATAGAAGTTCTAGTCGCATCTTCCAAAGCAAACAATGCTGACTCGACTTAATTCATGGTCCGAAGGCTTTTGATGACTGACCTAAAGGCAGGGCATTGAGAGCGCACCGCCTCTGGGCTAACTGTGCATGCACCGCGGCAGTCAGAATGGACGCTTGCCGCCCTACTGCTGCAGGCACAGGCTGGGCAAGGGTATGGGTAAATACCACCAGGAAAGCAAAGCACCGTGGCCTCACACACAGTTAAGCAGGTGGTTTGTCTCTACGTGGGTTATGACACTCTTTTATAGATCACTTTTTACAGTCCTGCTATAAACTTGTAGTTTATTTTCTCTTTCGGAGTAAAAATGGGGGGGGGGCCCGCAAGTGGCCATATTGCCCATTACAGGCTGAGCAGCCTTAAGCTGAGATGCTCAGAAAGCAAAGTGTCTACTTTGAGTTTTTTCAAATCTTAGAATCCACACATGAGACCTCTTTGAGATGAATCCCAAGTCTAAACATGAAATTCGTTGTGTATCACAAATACTTGTGAGCAGAGTCAAGTCTACACATGATGCTTCAATAATTTTATGCCCATGAACACACAAACACATGTGTATGAGCACCTGCATACACAGCTAAAAAAAATGAACTCAAGATGATGTTTTTTTAATTCCCAGTGTTGTACTACTTATAAACAACCACTCAACATTTTATAGCACACATCCATCAATTTATTTAATAAGCAGATATTCATATTGAGATTTATTTTCTCACACAGTAATATTCACTACTTTTATAGAAGGTATACATGATCTGTGATTCATGTAACCACCCTATAATCAAGATACACCATCGATCCAACACCCTCAAAAGTCCCTTCCCATTCCTTTGTAGTTTAATCTCTCTGGACTCTGCAGTAGTCACCAATTAGAGTACTGCTGCTTCCTCTGGATCCTCCCCTTTCTTCCCCACCATGCTGGCATTGATTGACAGTTCTCCCTACATGCTATGCAAGTGCTCTGACACTAAGCCCTTCTGCTTTTTTTTTTTTTGAGAGTGTACAGACACGTGGGTGTCCAAGGAGACCAGAAGAGGGTGTGAGATCCCTTCGAGCTAGAGTTACAGGAGACACAGTGGTGTGAGTTCTGGGAACAGAACCGCAGTCCCTTAGAAAGCAGCCTTCTTAACTGCTGAGCCTTCTTTCCAGGCCTTTTGATTCTTATTTGAGACAGGGTCCTATTACATTGCTCAGGTTGGCCCCAAATTTAGTCTTTTTTGTCTCGGCTTCATCAGTTTTAGGATTATAGCTATATATCATCATATCTAGCCTACATTATATTTGAAATTATACTGTAAGCAACTTGTTTCGCATTTTTTGGGGGGGGTCTGGGATATTTCTTTTTTTTTAATTTTTTTTATTTATTGTGTATACAGCCTTCTGCCTACAGGCCAGCAGAGGGCACCAGATCTCATTCAAGGTGGTTGTGAGCCACCATGTGGTTGCTGGGAATTGAACTCAGGACCTCTGGAAGAACAGTCAGTGCTCTTAACCGCTGAGCCATCTCTCCAGCCCTGGTCTGGCATATTTCATTTATCATAATGTTCTGGTTGTCCCTCTGAGCTATGCTTTCCTAATACTGAGTTGTATTCTGTTGTGAGCATGTAGTACAAGCTGCTTGTCCACTCTGTAGTCGATGGGCTTGGGGATTGTTTGTTTTTAACTTTCCTCAGTTCTAAAGAGAACTGTGATAGGCATCTACATGCAAGTTTCTATGTATACAATAGTTTTTAATTCTCTCAGGGGAATTTCCAGCAATTGATTATTGATCACACAACATATACTAGATATATTGAATTGACTTCTAACATTTTTGCTTTTTATATTCTCATCATGTTGTATAAGAGCTCTATTGCTCCAACATCTTCACTGATACTTTGTGAAATAAAAATGTTTTTGCATTTGTGGCATTCTAGCACACAGGTAGTGATATTTCAGCAGAACTCTGGTTTGCATTTTCCTAACTGCTAATGATGTTGACCACTTTCTTAGGTGCTTGGTGTGAACTCTCTATATTGTGGATTTTGTTGTAAGAATTCTTTTTATATTGTAGATGCTGGTACTTCATCTGAATTGTATCCTATAAACATTTTCTCCCTTTTTGTGGTTTTCTCAATTTTCTTCTTAGTGGTTTTTTGTTTGTTTCATTTTTGTTTGCAAGACAGTCTCCCTACATAGCCCTGACTGTCCTAGAATCACTATGTAGACCAGGCTGGCCTTGAACTCAAGATTCACTTGCCTCTGCCTACCAAGTGCTAGAATTTAAGGCTTGTGCCACCACGCCTGACCGAAGAACAGTTTTTGATGGAAGAACAGTTTGTCTAAGCACCATCTGCTAAATGTTGGCCCTGGAATTAATACAGATGTAATATATGTGATTTTAGCAAAAAAAAAAATGCACGTATTGGTTTCTAAACTACCTTTTTACTGTATCATCACTAATATTTTTTCATCACTAAATATTACTTAAAACACAATTTGGAATATGCATTGCATAGCATTCTCTTGGTCACATCTTAGTTTAGCTAAACCTCTGTTTGGGCAATATTTACATTAATTCCCTTCAAAGCAAAACAAATAAGAAAAGAAATGTATAATCAATATACTTGCATAGACACCTCTGTCCGCACCCGCAGTTATTTTCTTAGTATGAGTGCTCGTCACTGGGAAGCCCTCCAAAAGGCATAGTGCTCACTTGTAACTGTCTCTTGGGAAGACCACAGATGTTTTGAAGCAAAGACCCTGTCTTGTTCACCGTGCCCTGCCTATCTATGACAAAGAGCCTCGCACGCACTTACTGGAGAGAACTGTTGGCGTTACTGTATCTTCTCTACTTTCTCCTCAGAACTTCCTCTGTCTTGTAGACATCTCCCTTGCTTTCCCAGACCAAAGGAAGAAGAGAGGGCTTGCCAAGGAGATTCAGGTTCCAGGGCAAGTGAGGGACAAGCTCAGTTGTTGCTCAGCAATGCCCTCAAGGGGCCCCGCCCCCTGCAGCTATAAAGCCTTGGTGAGGTGAGGTGAGGCAGCCCCAAGTGGCATTCAGCCTCCAGAGCACCAGCAAGGCACTGGCACACAGGCACCTATGGCAAATGATGTGCAAGTCCCGCTGTCCCCGCTGAAAGGGCGCCACCCTCCAGCAGGTAGGTCCCCCCACCTGACCTGGCTCCCTGGCCTGGTTTCTCGTAGCTGCAATGGCTACCTTGCCAGCATTCATCTTCCCAGAAGCAGCTCAGCAGAGCCAAGGTTGTCACCCCACAGCTGTTGCTTTGACTTGCAGCAACCCGAGCTCCTCTGAGGCTATAGATTAGTTGAGGCATACCCTCACCTGAGTAAGTTACTACCTTGGGGAGCCCTACTCAGTTTTCCACCTCTCCTACTCAGTTTCTGCAAGGTACCCATGGTTAGCTGACTTCATACTGACTCTGCAGAGAACAGTGCCCCATTTCTGTTTCTGGAGTCTTTGGGATCGGGCAGCGCTATCAGCCCACAAACTGAAGAGCACATTTTAATAGGCACCCAGGGACGGGAGGGGCTCTGATGTCTAGAGTGTCTCCCGTTTTTAAATCCATGCTGTTTGCGTCGACTCTGTGGACTATACACACTGGTTTGGCTAGCATGAACAGGCCTATTTTTAGTCAGTTTTACATTCTTTCAACTGCTGTCCTTTCCTCCTGGCATCTCAAAGGCTTGGCTGCTCTGTGCTCCACTGTCTCCATTTACAAATCTAGTTATTTGTATAATTCTTTGTTACCTCTAAGAGGAGGGTGAGGCCCCTGAGCCGCAGGCAGGTACGACAGGCACAAGCTTTGCACCGGGTGAGGGTCTGATAGAGACCCAGTGCATTCTGGAAGGCAGCCCAGTGCAGCTAGCATTTTCTGGCCTATTCCAGATACTATGTCCAATCTCCTTTGTCAGCCTACCGACATTCTACACGTGTAGCTGAATTTAGCAATTTTTAACATTACAAATTTAAAGATATTGATGCCAACAAATGGGGAGCTATACATACAGTTGTTAGAAGAGGAGCTCCTATATGGCACAGATAAAAAGAAATGCACAGTTCCCTTCCTGCTGCCTCCACTCCAATCTTTCAGAAAATGATCCGGCTAAGCAAACAAACAAACAAACAAAAAAATCTGATTTGCTACAGTACGCTTATGCACAAAGTTAAACCTAAACAAATGATTCCTTTGGCTTAAGTCAATTTGAAAAGTGCAAGTTTGAACAATGCCACCAGAACTTCCTGTCCCCATCACTAATGATTGCTAATTACTCTGTGTACATAGCCACCATGACTCCATCAAGCATGTCACAATGCCTCTGGCATGACAATGAATTATTATGGACTGTGACACCGCAGATAAGAGGTTTGGGATAATTGGAATGGAGATGCAGGCTGACTTGCTTCCCCACTGAGCTCAAGAGAACAAAGGAGCGAGCGTCACCCTTCAGCTGGTTCCCCATATTTTGTTTAAGTCTGAACCAGCTTGCAATGATGCAAATTTTTATTTATGGACCAAAACTAATAAGATGCCAAAAATGCTATTAAATTTTCACCTGATATTTAGAAGCAAAATACAGATGTCCAACAACAGGAAGCTAATACCATGTGGTGAGAAGGTGAGACATGACAGAATCTGACGGAGTAGGGTTTGAGCTTCACTTTTAATCTACGTCTCAGAGCCTCAGTTCTCTTACCTGTGAAAGGGGGCAATAAATAATATCAATCTGGTGAGGCTATTGTGTGTGGGGGTGAGAAGAGACAGTGAATGTAAAGGACCGGACACTTGAATGCTGACCCCTTTAAACACAGGCCTCATCAAACCCACTGTAGTCAGCAGAATGCAGAGTGGTCCTTCCGGACTCCAAGGCACGGGATGTGGGAGCCTCGCTGGCACCTGCTGCAGTTGTGCAGACAGAAAGCAATTGCAATAGGGAAAGACACTACTGTTTGCCAGCATAGTTATGAATGAAGCCATTCAGAAGTCAGCCAGCCATAGCTCCCCCACCCCGAGCATGTGTGCTGAGCCCCTTACATGCATGTATTAGTGTAATATGTCACACCACTGTTAGCCTTGATTTTACACCTTCACCCTGAAACAAGACAAGGTTAACCATGGAGTAGCCTGGGCTCTAGGAAGCATAACTTTGAGTCTCTTGCTTTTTTGGTTTACCTTTCTCTTAGTTTTATAAGAACCCCATTACATGAATGGCAATACTGAAGCTTTGTGAGTAGGAGGTCCAGGGACACCAAAAGCATGATGAATAGGCAAACTAATAACGAACAGCTCCTCAGGTCATCTCCTTCCTGCACTTTTTAAATTGACTCAAGCCAAAGGAATCAGAAACATGCAGACAGCCAGCTGTGAATTGCAACAGGCATTTTCTGGCTTGTGAGGAAAACAGAAAAGTTTGTGAGGGAGGGTTATCATCAAGAACCCCAGAGGTGATCATAACTAAGGACCAGTGTCATTTAAAAGGAGCAGAATGGAAGGATGGCGTAGGTTAGTGAAGGAGGGAGATTAATGAGAACACGATGTAATGACATATGCACATGAAGAGGCTGTAATAGTTGGAGGTGGGAATGAGACACACCACTATATATTTTTTTCAAAGAATACATAAGAGATATTCTATTAGGACAATAAAATTAAGCCAGGCACAGTGGTGCACACATTTAGTCCCAGCACCCAAGAGGCAGAGGCAGGCAGATCTCTGTGCATTCAAGGACAGCCTGATGATCTACAAAGAAAATTCCAGGCCAGCTGGGAATCTACATAGTGAGATTCTGTTCCTGTCAAAAAAACTAATTTTAAAAGACATTAAACAAAATGAGATCTTGTTTTTTCTCAGTCCAGCTGTTTAACTCGTGCAGAGTAGGTGGGACAGATCTGGGGGTTAGAAGAGAAGTGTATGAAATCCACTGCCCAAAACATCTCGGAGAAGGGGGCTGACGACTGCAAGGGAAGCTGCCATTCACTCAGAGTCAACCTTGTACAATATAGAAACTTCCAAACATGGCAGCTGCCTTACAGACACATGACACTCTGCAGAGAAGTCTCACAGAGGAGCAATCTAAAAGCCAGAGAGCCCAAGAGACTCCACTAACACCACACAGCCCCGAGACTGAAAAATAACTGGCAGTTTGACAAAATTTTCTTGCTCTAAAAAGCCCCTTCGCTTGAGAGTTTTTCAGGGGTCTTGACTGGCCACCAAAACTTCACTGACAATTCAACCCTGACTGTACCCTGAGCAGTCTGTAAGCATCAGCCCCTTCATTGGATCTTCAAATGAGTTTGATCTTCAAGTGAGTTTTCAGCCATAAAGCAGAGTTTGGACAAACTTCCCGTTTTCCTGCTTCCATTTACACATTCCCCATGGTCTAGGGAAGGAAAGGGCTAATTTTTCTTACAGGCTGGTTTTTGTCTTGACTATTCTCTACTAAATACTGGGGGGAAGGGGGACTTAACTGGAAACGGCATATAGTTTGAAACTATAAGATCTATCTTTGAAAACATACAAACCACGAAATCTACCACAAGAACTCAGCTCTAACCCAAGGCAGGAAGGGAAAATTTCAATCCTTCTGCACCAACAGAGGTTTTCTAGCAAAACAACCCAAAAGAACATCACACTTTATACTTCTATAGATTCTAGTTCATTTTACTCACCTAAAGTCCTGAAAATCTTACTTTATTGGTATTCAATTTGTATTTATGGTTCATTAAGATAATAAACCATTCACATTTTACTTTGTTGAATTGCAGTTGGCTTTTTACACAAATATTCTAGATAAAATATAGTCCAAATATGAAACTGAAGTGGGGAAACATGTAAGTTTTGAAAGGGTCTGTTTAGGCACAGTGGCTCCTTGGGAAGACCTTCCAGCCATAGGAGGCGTCAAGAAAACAGGTCAGGGTGATTGTTGAGGGCTATAGTAGTGCTTTGTCTAGATCCTGTGAGACCAGTGTTCCCAGCAGAGCTTTGAACATGACCCTCCCATAAACTGGTTCCAACTGGTTCATTCACCCCAAGTTTGTGAGAGCCTTCCTCTATAAACCAAGTACATCCACCCACAGAATGGAGCTATTTTCTGCCTTGCCAAATGAAATTATCTTCCCCAAATGTCTTCGCTTTATTCTTAAAAATGAAGGACTCCCGCAGTGTGGGTTTTTAAAATATCCTCTAGTGTTTATGCCCTTTCCAACGTGAGGCAAGTGATGGATACTCTTTTCACAGCAGTATAGTTAGGATGACAGTAAGGGCCTCATTGGCAATGACTATGTAACTCAGTTTCTGCTGAGTTCCCCAGAATTCTCCTAGGATGCTCATGACAGACAAACCATTTTCCCTTGCTCTAATATGTCAAGAGGCACTAATGATTCTACCACCAATGTCCTTCGCACTGACTAACACAGACTGTTCTGAAACTTTTCTTATTTGATATCCACTCTCCCATCCTCTTCTGGAGCAACCTAAAATAAATCTAAATAATAATAACTACTAATTATCAAGTGCCTACTATGTACCAAATGTTTACGTATCTTTTTTTTAATATTCCCCAGTTTAAAATTTTTATATCCATTTCTAAGTATGAGCAGTGCACCCCCCAACTGCCACCAGCACATACATGCATGGAGGAGAGAAGACAATTTGCAAGAGTCAGTTCTCTCCTTTCCACCATGTGGGTATGGTAATGGGACTCGAGTGATCAGGCTTGCATCCTTACCCACTTTGCCAGTCTGGCTTATGTGTCTTTATTCTCAAGAATACCTCTGAACTGTGAGACTTACTCCCTTTTGAGGGATGTGAAAACCAAGTCTGAAAGAAAGCTAGATATTTAGCTCACAGTCACTTTGTCAGTCTGTTCTTCAGACAGGCTAACATAATGAATGAAATGGGTTTAATTAGCTTCCCCAGTTCTGGAAACTGACTCTCTGGTGAGGACTTCGTGGTAGAAGGCAGGACCACATGCACAGCAGAGCTAGAATCACCCATAGAAGGCAAGAGGACGGTTGACTGGGACCACTATATCCCCTCCAAGGGCCACTCCCAGCTGGCCTAAGGATCACCCAGGAGGCCCCACCACTTACCATTTCCTCCTCCCATTATCATCACTCTGAGGACCAGTTTCCCAGATCATCAACTCTTGAAAGACAAACTCAAACCATAGGCAAATCACAGCAGTCTCGTGGCTTCCGGGGGAGTGGAGATGCCCTACTTTGCACAGCATCTCCCCAACATGACACATGGCCCTTCAGAACTTTGGTGATGGTACCCTTGCTTCCCCCTAGTGGTCTTACTGGATGCCACAGCTGTGACTCAGCTCCCTTCCCTCTGTCTAATCACTCTCCTCTGGAGACTCTTAAAGTCCTTCTAAATAAACTAAACATTGCAAAAAAAAATCAGAAAATCAAAGATGTTCATAATCATCACTATTAACATTTTCCTAAAGGAGATATATCATTCTTTGTAAATTATATTTTTCACCTAGGAAATCTAAGATAATCCATAAGAAGTTACAATAAACAATAATAATAGAATTTGCTACATCTTAACTATAAAATCAATTATGATAAACTTACTGATATTCAGTTAATTTTTTTCAGCTTCAAGTTCTTAGTTTGGCATGAGGAATAGGCCTGATTTATAGTAACAGCATTGACAAAGATAAAATGCTTATGAAGGATGAACCTAAGCATAAATGGACAAAATTGGTCTGGACAAATTTCCAAGGAACTCAGAAGAGGTGAACAATAGACAACCATGCATATTCTCAAATACAGAGACACCAGGAGTATAATGACATGAATTTCCCTCTTTAAAAAATCCATAAACTTATTCAGGTGCTGTGGAGTACATTTCTAACATCAGTTCTCAGGAGGCTAATATAGGAGAGTCTCAAGTTTAAAGTAACTGCGATCTTATACGTTAAAAATATACCAACAAGGTTTTATAGGAAATTGACAAAAAATTTTAAGCTCTTGTAAAAAATGATAGTAAAATTATTTAAATAAAATGTAACAAGATAAACTGTCAAATATTATAGTATACTACAATGCTTCAACTAAAAATATACTTATAGTGATATCTGTATAAATTAATTGAACAGAAATAGTCATAGATGTACATGTTCTGACACATGCTTATATACTCGTGTGTGTACATATATATATACACACACATACACATATATATACATATATATATATATATATATATATATATAGGTTTGAAAAGAATGGCCCCAAAAGTGAGTGACATTATAAGGACGTGCGGCCTTGTTGTAGAAAGTGCATCACTGTGGGGGTGGGCTTTATGGTCTCTTTGGCTCAAGCTCCCCTCAGTGTGACAGTCAGTTGACTTCCTGTTGCCTGTAAGGTATAGCGCTCTCAGCTACAGCACCATGCCTGCCTGCACACTGCCATGCTCCCTGTCATGACAATCGGCTGAACCTCTGAAGCTGTAAGTGGGCTGTTGTGAAGTATGTGTACACTGTAAAAGATGCATTGCTGTGATTGGTGCAATAAAAAGATGAATGGCCAATAGGTAGGCAAGAGAGTATAGGCTGGACTTCTGGGCAGAGAGAGAACTCTGGGAAGAAGAAAGGAAGAGTAAACAGCAAGACACAGAGAGGAAACAGGAGGTACAAGATGGAAAAGAGGTAATGCCACGTGGCAGAGCATAGATTAATATAAATGGGTTAATTTAAGATATAAGAGCTAGTGAGATAACCCTAAGCTAAGTCTGAGCTTTCATAACTAATAATAAGTCTCTGTGTCATTATTTGTGAGCTGGTGGTCCTGATGAAGAAGCTTGCTACAGCAAGCTACCCCAGTTAAATGTTTTCTTTATGAAAGTTGCTGTGGTCATGGCTCACAGCAATAGAAACCTAAGACAGTGTGTGTGTGTGTGTGTGTGTGTGTGTGTGTGTGTATACACATACATGTCTAAGATCAATATTTTGATCATCCAAAAAATATCTTACATCAAACCAGGTGTGTGGTGCATGCCTGTACCTGCAGCCCTTAGGTGGAGGAGGTAGGAGGACTGGGAGACTAAGGCAGCTTGGACTATGCAGGGAGACCTGGGTTCACAGCAAAATCCAGTCTCAACAGCCTGAAAACAAAGCAAGACAAACCTATCTCTTCCTTATTACCTGCATCAAGTATATCATTAAAGGACCAAGGACTTAAGTATATCCAGAGACTGGCTTTACAAGATGAAGCCACTGAACTTCTAGAAGACAGCGGAGAATTGTCTGTAAAACATCACAATTCCCTACAAACCCATACCAGATTGACAAGTCTACATGTTTGCAGTGGACAGATGTTATCAATAAATAAAAAAGCAGAGAGAGGCAGAGGCAGGCAGAGCTCTGTGAGTTCGAGGCCAGCCTGGCCTACAGAACAAGTGCCAGGATAGGTTCCAAAGCTACACAGAGAAACCCTGTCTCAAAACAAACAAACAAACAAAAAAGAGCAATAACTGGTACAATTACTTTGTATTTGCAATTTGCATTTCACAAACTACTCCTAAAATTCAGTAATCGAAAGATGAAGAAAAGACTAGTAATCCAATGGGAAGGGGGGGTTGGAAAAAAACTATGAAACTATGAAGAACTCATAGAAAAGAAAATACAAATACTCTTCTAAAGCAAGCTTAAGCTGCAATAACAAAAAATGAAATGCAAATTAGAGCAATGAGATACTTCAACCTGGAGTTTGGGGACAAAAGTCTTGGTTCTGGGAGTCCCAAGAAGCCATGTTTGGCCATTTTTCCCAACATGCCAGTTAAGGACATGAGCAGTGACAAAAGCAGAGAGAAAATTTAATCCAATTACATTGGGAAGAGGAACAGACAAAGGGGTCCAGGGACCCAACTTCATCTTCCAGGTCCTGACATGAGCTCACAGCTCAAGACCTGTGTATGAGTGTGTGAGTGTGTGTGTGTGTGTGTGTGTGTGTGTGTGTGTGTGTGTGTGTGTGTGTGTTTGTCCCCAGAAAAGGGTGTGAGAGCCCCTGAAACTGGTGTGGGTGCTGGGAACCAAACCAGTTCTCCCCAAGATCAACAAACACTCTTAAGTACTGATCCATGTCTCTAGTCCCAGCCCAAACTTTGGGTTTAAGCACAAGAAGAACCAGGAAGGCTACTGTGAGGTCATTTTCTCTCCTGGCCAAGCCAGCTGTCTCCTCCCTCTTCTCTAACACCTAGGCAGGTGACCCAAAGGAAGGCAACAGCACAAAATGAAGGTGGGGCTTCGGTCCTGCTTCCTGTTACTTACTAGGCCCAAGGCAGTTTCTCCATGCCTCTTACAGTTCTCATTTTTGGCTTACTAGTTGATAAAAACAAAACATTTTCTAACTCATTGTCTGGAGAAACAATTGTTGCCATGGTAACTGATGAGGTTGTAAATTAGTATAACGTTTGTAAGGACAATTCAACAAGATTTTCATGTATAAAATGGATACCCATCGCAGCTTCGCTTATGAATGAGAAACGCATGAGAGGCTTAGCATTAACAAAGTGGCTAAATAAACAAGATTTTCATAATGGAACTGCAAACACATATTAAAAAGAAAGACACACTGGGCAGTGGTGGCGCACGCCTTTGATCCAACACTCCGGAGGCAGGAGGATATCTGTGAGTTCAAGGCCAGCCTGGTCTACAGAGCTAGTTCCAGGACAGCCAAGGCTACACAGACAACCCCTGTCTTGTTGGGGAGGGGGAGAGAGGGGGAGGGCGGATAAGACAGATGAAGACAGAACTGTAGGACAGTCTATAAAAACGTATGGTTAAGGCGGGGGAGCGGGGAGAGAAACCAGATACAGAACAGCTACCATCTTATTCTACCACTTAAGTAATGTGTATAGCATCTGTGGGTGAAGACTAGGAATTTAGCAGTGTCTGCGGAGACTGTCTGCATGCTGAAAAGGGGTAGTGGGAGGGACTCACAAATCTTTTCATGTTTCTCGATTGCACGCCTTCTGCTGGTATGCCAAATAAAAGACTCAAGTATTAATATTTATAAGAGCAGTGATAAAGTCATCACACAAAGGCTTGAGAAATAGGGTTTTTTTTCTTACCTTACTGGAATTAGTTTTCAAGAGCTTTCATAAAGAGGATTATCAGGTTGAAACAAATCAGCGTCTGTCCATGTAGACACTTCTCATTTGAGCTTGTCACATTTTAAATGTGTGATTTCTCTGGGAAAAGAGGAAAAGTATTTGTTTTGACTTGCAATCTGAAGCGGGTTGCTCCTTTTCCAAAGTTGATTTCAGCTGACATTGTTAAACACTTGAATGGCTTTCAGGTCATCTGTAGCCTAATTAACACTAATTGAACTCTTGAATGGCGCGACTATTAATACAGCTTAATTACTCATTAGAACCTCGGCGCTCGGCCAACCAGAGGTTTTGGGGGGTCTGGGATGAAGGTGGCTATCCCCTGGAACTCAAAGCCCTTCGTTTGAATCCAATGTCTGGCTAGCACCCTGAGATTTGGCTTCACCTCTCAGAATCTGACATTTGAAAGTGTTCGGCTGAAAAAGCAAAAGTGCAAGCCATGCAAAAGCTTTAATCTTGTGGGGAAACGGAGGGTCGCCTAGTAATTACGGGTTGCTATCTTGAAGAATGTAATTGCTTTGATAACAGCAGAAAAAAATGTTTTTCAGCGAGATGCCTAAGGGAGTGTGTTGTTGTTCTTTCTAAATCTGAGGTGTGACCTTTTCGACCTTGATTCCACCTCTCTGAGCAGAAAAAAAGCAAACCCCAGGCCTTCCCCCTCCCTGCACAGACTTCCTTAGATTTTATTTTTCTGTTGTTTAGATAAAAGGTTTTTTCCTATGTAAACTTGGAAACTCTCGTTAGACGGGAGTCCTGTTTGGAAAACAAAGCTGTTCTGATGCGCATGCCGGTTCTTGTTTCCAGTGAAAGCTGGAGGAATGCGAATTTCCAAAAAACAAGAAATGGGCGTTTTGGAAAGACACACCAAAAAAACAGGACTGGAGAAAACAAGGTAGGGATCGCTCATAGTTCTGCCTCCGGAAGTTATTCGGGAACAAACCAAGGCCCCACGAATGTCGGGGGAGGGCAGCCAGGCTTGGGGAGGGGTGAGCATCTTGATGAATCTCGGTTCTGGGATACCAACTGGAGTGTCTCCCCACTCCATCCTACCCATTCTCCTCTCTGGAACCACCCAGCCGCCTCCTGAAGTGGTCCTAAATGTATCCCACCCCCGATGCTCATCCACTCATCTTATTTTCAGGTCACTCTTTAAAACACTGCACCTCATCCGGCCTTTTCATAACCTGCTCTATGATAAGGCACATCTTCTGAATTTAAAAAAATAACTGCCTCTAAAATTTTGAAATCATCATTCACTTGTTTAAGAAAATAATAGCCACTATGTGTTGGCTAGTTCTATGTTAACTTGACGCAGGCTAGAGTCATTTGTGAAGAGGGAAACTCAGAGAAAATGCCCCCAACCAGATAGACCTGTAAGCAAGCCTGGGGAGCATTCTCTTGATTGATAACTGACATATGGAATTGGACAGTGCCTTGAGGAGCAAGTCGATATGCAGCACTCCCCCTCAACCTCTGCTTTAGTCCCTGCCTCCAGGTTCCTGCCCCGCCTGACTTCTGTCCTGATGTCCCTCAGTGATGGACCAAGTAGAAGACGAAATTAACCCACGTTGCTTATGGTCATGTTGTTTATCCCTGTTACTGAAACCCTAAGACAAAGCTTGAAAGCATACCAACATTGGGGCTGTTTTCCTCCCTGCTTCTTCTACCAAGACCTTGGCATTATTAAGTTTAGGGGTATGAGTTGGTGTATCCTACACACAGATGTGCCAAAGACTTGCTTAAGGAAAATAAGTACACTTGGAGAAGAGATTACCATATTGACCTGATTCCTCCAAGTAGCCTAATGAGGGATGCTTCAGAGATTGGTTTCCATGGAGCATGAGTAAGTCATTCAAAAGTTGATTAAAAGGATGCTTGGAACAACTGCTTATGCCTCACAGAGAGAATGTGGAGGGAAACGGACTAATTTCTTTGTCCCTTTCATACACATCACATGTGGTTGTGTGTGTGAATGTGTGTGTGTGTGTGTGTGTGTGTGTGTGGTGTTTGTGCGCATGCATGCTCACACATATGGAGATCCAAAGTTGGCATCAGGTGTTTTTCTCAATCATTCTCCACTTTATTGGGCTCACTACTTGGCTAGTCTAGACAGCCAGTTTGCCCCAGGGTTCTCCTGTCTCTGCATCTTGAGGGCTGAGGTTATAGACAGGGCTACATGAATTTATGTGGGTTCTAGGGATCCGAACCCAGGTCCTCAGGCTTGCATGGCATGTACACTCTCCATGAACCATCTTCCCAGCTTTTCAAAGTTTTTTCCCAGTATGTGGGAGGTTTTTTGTAAGGGATTTCACATAGAGACACACATAAATGAAAAAAAAATGAAATACTTATCAACTTCCAAACAACAAGTCACTTGCTATTTCTGATCCAGATATAGCATCCCATGATCAAAGTGGAACCATAAATTCTCAAGAGATTCACACAGTATTTATCTTCTCACCTAGCATCAGGGCAGCTCCTAGGATAGTAAGTACACATGCTGGAAATTGTAGCACAATTAATAAAAACCAAGAGACAGATATTAGGGTTCTAGCTGAAGATCAGAAAAGCAAAGCAGCCAAGGTACTAGAGAGTTCTTACCTCCACCAAGACTAAGACCAAAGAGGGGCGATCCTGTCCTCAGTATGACTGCAGACTGCAATGCTAGCCACCAAAAACCTCAGACTACTCTGAGCTCCTGCCTTATATTCCTCTCTAGTGCTGGGATCTTTTAGGCTGATTCACGCTCATGTACCCCAGGGTGGCCTTGAACTCACAGAGATCCATCTGTCTCGGTCTCCTGAGTTCTGGGATTAAAGGTGTAACCTCTACTGCCTGACCTCGATGACTAATTAGTGGCTTAGGTGTGTGGCTAACTTGTTTTTTTTTTTTTAATTGTTGCTGCCTTTTAAGCTACGGCTATTCTATTCAGCAACTACCACTCCGCTACTACCAGCAGACACTAGGCCTCAAGGGCCGAAGCCTGGGAGAATTCTGTTCCCTCAGGCACCAACTCTTTCAAAGTTACTAAGGAAACTTATTTAAATCTCCGTCCCACTAAAGAATTCAAGATTCAAAGGTTGAGGTAGAATCCCGCATCCCAGAGAGGCTGAGCAGCAAGCAGCTCACCTAGTTCACCCCTTCCAGTCTCCCAGGAAGTCCCGGTGCTTTTTCTCGCTCCTCCTTATAAACCCTTCCCCACTTGGCTCCTCCCTACAACTTCCTGTCAGCTGGTTGCTGACCCAGCCTCTTGACCACAGGTGAATTTTATTTTATCAAACACGTCTTTGCATCATGAAACAAATGTTCCAGAGCATAAACAAAAGCAACACACCTGAAAGTAATATTCTACGACACTAACTAGTGGCTCTTAACTAAGTGTGTGGCTAACTAGTTAGTGGCTTAGCTCTGCATTCTGATCTTCAGGCAAGGTTTATTTGTTAGATAATAAACAAAATATCACCACAGGAAATAGCATCAGACTACAATAACTTGGATGATGATGGCTAAGTCAGGGAGCCTGCTGACTTGTTCTTAAGCGTGCCCAGTTTGCCGTTATACCAGTTACTGGGCCTGGGGCTCTGCAGAATTCTAGCAGGCAGGCAATGAACAAGCCATTGATTTCCCTGCACTTCGGAGAAACAGTCTTCCTGTTAACTCTAAGTTCAGCTGGGCGCTGTGGGCAGGAGTTGGTTAAAGAGTAGTGAGGTGGTGATCAGGTGACCAGAGGGTGTTTGCTAGTAGCCACAGCAAGTTGGCAGGGGAGGACTAGGGAACTTAAACGTGAAACCACTCTCCCTAATGCCCACCTTCCAGGGTCAGATTCAGGTTTCAAAAAAAAAACTGTCACTTACAGAATGACTGGGAGCCACCACCAATGAATTGAAAAGAGCCAATGTCTGAGATCCCATGACGGGTCAGAAGACTCCCCTCCACCGTGAATCCTGCCCTGTGAGCATGGACGCTTCCAGCTCTACTTTCACAAAAATCTCTTCTTACAGAACAGTTTTATGGGTTTTTGTTTTTGTTTTGTTTTGTTTGAGACAGGGTTTCTCTGTGTAGCTCTGGCTTTCCTGGAACTCTCTCTTTAGACCAGGCTGGTCAAACTCAGAGACCCACCTGCCACTGCCTCCTGACTACTGGAAATAAAGGAGGGAGTCACCGCCACCCAGCTATGGAACATTTTTTAAACCACAGGAGACACTTCTCTCATAATCATCCATCTATAATGACTTCTAGCGACCAACACAAACCATCCAGAAAAAGATATGGCAAGCATGGAGTTCAGAAAAAGATATAGCAAGCATGGAGTTCATTTAAGACCCTGCACTGTGGACTTGGGCCTGACTGAAACATAGCTTAGCCAGAGAGGAAGAAAGTAGACACAAGAGAACGCATACTATCGATGGCTTCTTGTATGAAATCCAAAGACAGAACTGCTGGTCCCTGGGGCTTTCTTTCAGGGAACTGTTATTCCCAGAGGTCACTGATTTGACAAGTGTTTTTGGTTTGTGAAACCATGAACTATATGCTTATAATATGTGCACTTTATTCATGTATGTTATATGAAAAGATAGAAATCAATTGTAGTAGCAGCCTGGTTTACAAAGCTTGGTGTGGCGCATGTGTCCATGGAGGGAGGATGTTGTTCTCTAGGTGTTGCTGAGCAAAGAAAAACCTGCAGGGATCACTTAGCCTCTCCAGCATATATGTTTCAAAAGATACAAAACGTGTGCATGTTTGTGTGTGTGAATAATTTGTGTGTCTGTGCGTGTGTTTGTGTGTATATACACATAGAGACCAGAGGACAGATCCAGGTACTGTCCCTCAGAAACAATTTGTCTTCTTAATAACAGGCTTCCCCACTAGATGACAGACCCACACCTCCACATCTGGCTCCCCCACCCCACCCCCAGCATGGGTTCTATTGATCAAACTCAGGTCTATCATGTACTTTACTGACTAAAACATCTCCCCAACACAATAAGTAACTTTGTGGGGGCGGTGCTGGGGGTTGAATCCAGGGTATAGCACACATGCCAGGTACACACTTAGCCTTGGATCTTAAAGTTCCTTTTCCTCTTCACAGTGCCATCCCAAACGTTGCCAAAATACAGATGCTGGATGCTCTGAATGACACACTGGACAAGGTGAGCCTAGGACAACTCACACGACACTCCTGACCCTGTGTTTGCCCAGTGCATCAAGTGGCTTGAGTGAGCCGGCAGATGAGTAACTAAGACTTCTTTTCCCAGCCCATGAGTTGGACGTCCTTGTGAAAGAAATCGATGTGTTCTCAGCTAGAGAAACATGAAATGGTTTAGATAAGAAGAGCTGCTTCTCCCGAACCCCTAAGGTGTCTATTAAATAACCCCTAAGGTGTCATTTCAAAACAAGGTAGGGGATGAAGTAAGAACCATGAGGCCGAGTGTGCAGAGCTTCCATTTGCCCTTCCAGATATTTCTCAGGGACCGGCATGTTTTTATAAAAGCCAGTGCGTGTGTCGAGATCCAGCCATTTCCGGCCTTCCTCTGTACCTCAGCATCTCCATAGAAAGTACTTGATTTGTGTCTGTGGTGGGTAGGGGAGGGCTGAGTGATCGGGGCTGAAAGCAGCCAGACACCAGCGGGGTTTATCTAGTAAAGCACGTTTATAAAGAGGGTTACCACTACTATTTTTCTTTGCAGAGTTTGAATTTCTCCCAAGTAGCCCAAACAGCTCAAAAAAGTCATATATTGGGCAAACAGCAACTGGGGTTTGGGACTCTGTCGCTGGCCCCATCCCCAACCCTGTGTATCTGTCCTTCATCCATCCATCAGTCCATCCATGCGTGTCCCCCCTCCCCAAACACTGCCCCCCTGTGAGGAGCCGCCCTCGCTATCGCTATTGCCGTTAGAAGATGGCGCTGACATCCACTGTCAGTTGGAGTTAACTGTCGCTGTCAGTTGGAGTTAACTGTCGCTGTCAGTTGGAGTTAACTGTCGCTGTCAGTTGGAGTTAACTGTCGCTGTCAGTTGGAGTTAACCGTTTAAACTGTGCCTCTCCCGTGACGTCATCTGGGGTGATGTGCAAACCACCAATCCCGGCTCTACACATCTCACTCGGAGCTCCTAGGCTTATATAAGGGGCTGGGTTTCTTAGCTTGGGGTCTCCCTCTAAGAAGCTGATCATCTATCTCTCAAGATGCATTAAAGCTTTACTGCAGAAGGATCCGAGTGTTCTGCGTCGTTCTTGCTGGCGAGACGGTAGCGCGGGACATCTGGTGCCGAAACCCGGGAACTCTTCAACATCGCCGGCGCCGCGGGAGACCCCTCGGAAGACGGGGCGGATTCAGAACTGCAGGGACGTAGGTTCAGAGAGGTATGCTTTATCCTGAACAACCCTTTTCTCGACTTTGGCCTTAGTTTGTCATCACCGTGGGACGGGTCAGTGGAGGCTTTGGTGCTAGTCCTGTTTGTCCTTCTCCTTCATCGTGGCTGGTGCTGACAGAACGGCGCTGTCCATCTGGCGCTGTCCATCTGGCGCTGTCCATCTGGCGCTGTCAGTCTGGCGCTGTCAGTCTGGTGCTGTCAGTCTGGTGCTGTCAGTCTGGTAACGGAGTTGAGCGCGTTTTTAGATAAGCTGTCAGCGCGATGGGGTCGTCACAGTCAGTGGTTACAGCCTTACAGACTGTGCTAAAACAAAGAGATCTTAAAATTGCACCACGAACACTTCAAAATTTTGTGAAGGAGGTAGATAGAGTGGCACCATGGTATGCTTGTTCCGGGTCCCTCACTGTGGCCTCATGGAACAAGCTAGGTAAAGAACTAGACAGGAAGCATGCAGAAGGAGATCTCTGCTTAGGTACCAAAGCCATTTGGAAGCTAGTTAAAAACTGCTTGGAGGATGAGGCCTGTCACCCTGCTATAATAGAAAGTCAGGGAACCTTAGAGGAAGTTCAGGATAGCATGTCAGAAACTGAACGGAGTGAGAGAATGGGAGCTCGCAAAAGAAAAGACATGTCTAAGAAAAAAGGCCCTCCCCAGGAAGTTAAGAAAGGGGGAGAGAAAGAAGGGAGTTATCATTCACCCCTTAACAAATCTAAGAAAAAGAAAAAGCCAGAATCTAGTCTATACCCTGCAGTAGAGCTAGAAGCCTTGGAGCTAGATAATTCTGATTCTGACACTCTGGATTCTAGCGAAGAAGGTGGTCTAGAGGAGGAGGTGGCACGGTATGAGGAAAAAGATATCACCCTGATAGACACCGGCCACTGAAAACAAAAATGAATGTGAGGCCACCGCCTATAAATCCGGCGGGCTCACGCTCCTCAGCGCCTCCGCCATATGAGCTTCGGCTGAATACTGGTACTGACTCCTTTTTACCTTTAGAGGAACGGAGAAAAATACAAATGGCTTTTCCAGTATTCGAGAATGTGGAAGGCGGAAGAGTACATACCCCGTAGATTACAATCAAATTAAAGAATTGGCCGAATCCGTTCGTAATTATGGGGTCAATGCTAACTTTACCACATTACAGGTGGAAAGGCTTGCTAATTTTGCCATGACTCCCACTGACTGGCAAACGACAGTGAAAGCAGTGCTTCCCAACATGGGACAATACATGGAATGGAAGGCTCTCTGGTATGATGCAGCCCAGGCACAAGCTAGAGTTAATGCCACGGCTGAAGATGAGAATCAGAGGCAGTGGACATTTGAAATGCTGACAGGTCAGGGTCAACATGCCCTTAATCAAACCAACTACATCTGGGGCGTCTATGGTCAGGTGTCGGCCGCCGCTATTAAAGCATGGAAGGCCCTCACAAAAAGGGGAGAGTCCAGTGGACACCTTACAAAGATTGTCCAAGGACCCCAAGAGCCATTTTCAGACTTTGTGGCCAGAATGACAGAGGCCGCCAGTCGCATCTTTGGTGATTCAGAACAAGCTATGCCCCTGATTGAGCAACTTGTCTATGAACAAGCAACCCAGGAATGTCGAGCGGCTATCGCCCTCGCAAAAGCAAAGGTTTACAAGATTGGCTCAGAGTGTGCAGGGAGCTGGGGGACCCCTAACCAATGCAGGACTAGCTGCCGCCATTTTACAAACGCACAGGTATAGAGATTTATCTAATCGAAAAGCTTGTTTTAATTGTGGGAGAATGGGGCACCTTAAGAAAGATTGTCAAGCCCCTGAAAGAACAAGAGAATCGAAGCTTTGCTATCGTTGTGGTAAAGGTTATCATAGGGCTAGCGAATGCAGGTCAGTCCGGGATGTAAAAGGGAGGCTTCTGCCCCCTATTGAAGAATCCAAGGTACCCCAATCAAAAAACGGGTCACGGGGCCCATGGTCCCAGGGCCCTCAGAAATATGGGAACCAATTTCAGAAAAGCAATCAAGAGGAAGTAGAGGTTTCCGAGGAACCTCCGGAATGGACTTGCGTGCCGCCTCCGACTTCTTACTCATGCCCCAAATGAATGTTCAACCGGTCCCAGTCCATTCCCCTGGACCTTTGCCCCCTGCCACCATTGGGCTTATTCTGGGCCGTGGCTCCTTAACTTTACAGGGACTCATTATATATCCTGGGATTGTTGACCCATATCATAAAGAGGAGATTCAAGTTCTCTGTTCTAGCCCTCGGGGTGTATTTTCTATAAAGCAGGGAGATAGAATTGCACAACTGGTGTTGCTGCCCTCCCTCGGGGATGGAGAAACCTACACTTTACAAAAAAGGGCTATGGGATCTTCTGGAAGTGATTCAGCCTATCTGGCTATACCCCTAAATGAGAGACCTACAATAAAATTGTTAATTAATGGAAAAGAATTTGAAGGGATAATGGATTCGGGAGCAGACAAAAGCATTATTTCACTCCATTGGTGGCCGAAGTCTTGGCCCACTGTTGTTTCATCTCATTCTCTACAAGGTCTTGGATACCAGTCCTCTCCTGCCATCAGTGCCTCAGCCTTAACCTGGCGGGATGCTGAAGGCAAACAGGGATGTTTTACCCCCTATGTGTTGCCACTCCCTGTAAATTTATGGGGACGAGATGTGTTACAAGCCATGGGCATGACCCTAACTAATGAATACTCCCCCCAGGCATCAGCCATTATGGCAAAGATGGGGTATACAAATGGTAGAGGCTTGGGTAGGCAAGAACAAGGCAGAATAAAACCCATTACACAACACGGAAATCGGGGTAGAAAAGGACTGGGTTTTATTTAGGGGCCGTTGAGGCTTCACGACCCATACCATGGAAAACAGAGGAGCCGTTATGGGTCTCTCAATGGCCTCTATCCTCTGAAAAATTAGAGGCTGTCACAAGATTAGTGCAAGAACAGGAACGGCTGGGGCATCTAGAGCCTTCTACCTCCCCATGGAATACACCAATTTTTGTTATTAAGAAGAAATCTGGGAAGTGGAGATTACTCCACGACCTGCGGGCCATTAACAATCAGATGCATCTTTTTGGCCCTGTTCAAAGAGGCCTTCCTTTGCTTTCTGCACTTCCTCAAGATTGGAAGCTTATTATTATAGATATTAAGGATTGTTTCTTCTCTATTCCACTTTACCCACGGGATAGACCAAGGTTTGCCTTCACTATCCCTTCTCTTAATCATATGGAACCAGACAAGAGATTTCAGTGGAAGGTACTGCCGCAAGGCATGGCCAATAGCCCAACAATATGTCAGCTATATGTGCAGGAGGCTTTGGAGCCAATTAGGAAGCAATTTACATCTTTAATCGTTATCCATTATATGGACGATATTCTTATTTGTCACAAAGAGTTAGATGTTTTACAAAAGGCTTTTCCCATGCTGGTGGCTGAATTAAAACAGTGGGGATTAGAGATTGCCTCAGAAAAGGTTCAAATTGCAGATACAGGCCTCTTTTTGGGCTCAAAGATTACTCCCAAAAATATAGTTCCTCAGAAAATAGAAATTCGCAAAGACCACTTACAAACATTAAATGATTTTCAGAAACTTCTGGGAGATATAAATTGGTTGAGGCCCTTTTTAAAAATTCCATCTGCTGATCTAAAACCCCTCTTCGATCTCCTGGAGGGTGAGCCTCATATCTCCTCACCCAGAAAATTTACCCCTGCCGCCCACCGAGCCTTACAGATGGTGGAAGAGGCCTTACAGGAAGCACAATTACAACGAATTGAGGAGTCACTACC